ATAGATGAGTAGAGTAGACATTGAGTCTGTAAAGCAGCTAGGCTTTACTGTAACTGCCAAGGGTAGACCCTATATACTACCCCATAGAGGCCTGTCCGTCTGATAGATTATTTTAAATCATTAGATAGATACGTATTTCTTATTTTCTTACAGAAAAAAATAATTTCGACGATATATAGATTTGAAATGTCGCGTGACGTCACTTCTATGTACATTTTATACGTAGAAATGACGTTTTAGCCCCCACTCCTAAACTTTGATTAGTTTTATCTAAGTATTGTTGTATTATACGACAAAATAAAAAATACGTGTCTATTAATTTTTGTTACCTAACTTACGGACTAATCAAATTTTTAATTTTAATACCCTGTCATCATTCCTATTCAGACTTTCCAAGTGAGTTCGATTGCATTCTCGCCCGTCATTGGTCTGTCCTAGCAGGATACATTTGGACGACCCCTACTCTTCATACGGCTTGTTAGAACCACTATGAGACTACACATAGATAGGTAGAGGCTAAAAGGCCCAGCCGTGCTCTTTGACAAACCTGAACCATTAAAACTGCGATCTCACCTGCCTGCTAAGAGACTAGAAATACCGTGTGTACAAATCACCATACGCGAAGGAAATATTATGTGATAAAAAAATTAAAATAAAATAAAAAAGAAACATAACATAACGCCTTTTATCCCCGAAGAGGTAGGCAGAGGTACATATTATACCACTGTACAATGTAACACCTACTTTTCACTATTTATGTTATGAGTCCCATGTAATAGGGGGTGAGCCTATTGCCATATACCAGGCATTTAAAATATTATAATAATAATAAAACAAAATAGAAATCTATCACATTCCGGTAGGATTTTCACATAGAGCAACACAGGCCACCGGCGGACCGGGATTTTCAGGAGCAGTTGATGTAGGGCAAAATAAAAATGTCGCGGAGAACCAAACGAGTTACCGGGGCTCCGGCTCGACGTGCAGGAGAAGGAACGGGGTGGTTTTTAGTCAGTAAGAGTCTGACACTCCCTCCCGCCCCACCCAGGCGGGAGCAGTCATTCGATGATTTTCCCCCGTTAAAAAAAAAAAAATAAAAAAAAAATCCTAGCAAAGTTGAGAAAAATCTAGTTTAAAATTATAGATGATAATAATGACTACGGAACCAACCGAAGCAATGATGACTCACGTCTTCTACAACACCCTTGATATCAATATTTAGTTGTATATGATCCAATATGGCATTAGTGGTGTTTCGTGAGTGACTGTGAGCGGACTCCTCCGTCTACCCGACTGGTAAGTCCTTAGGTTTTATATAGGCTTATAGTTATAATTTATTTTAATTATATGTCTTATAAGTTACTTCTAATGTTAAAGAAACTTTTATTAGTGACATAGTCGGTTTATTCGGTAGGTACGTAAATAGATGATGATTATGATTGATAGAGAGAGCCATTGGAGAGTTGTATGTCCAGCAGTGGACGAGAACAGGCTGTTGATTAATTGATTGATAGAGAGTGAGAGATATTTTAAAAATAATTTTAATAAAGTGCATTGTGTTAATAGAAAGCTGGTAAGTGAAGATGATGAAGAAGGTGGTTACACTTACACCAAATTAGCGTTACATTTATTTTCCATTTCACTGCCTCGTTGACCGAAGGGGTCTCGGGTTCGATTCCCGGGTAAGCCAAAGTATTACTGAATTTTTTAAAACATCTCAGTAGTAGCACGGAGTCTGGAATTGTGCCCGGTATTATGACAATAGGCTCACCCCTTATTACATCGGCCTCATAACATAAATAGTGAATGGAGGGTGTTACATTGTTCAGTGGCAGAAAGTGCCGTGTGCATCTCTGCCTACTCCTTTGGGGATAAAAAGAAACGCCTTTAAACATAACGATGTTATTTTGTTAATTTTCCAAATTCTTTTTTCAAATTCAGACATTTTTTTTTTAATTCTTCGTTGTTTTGTGTATGTAACATTATATAGGTGCTTTTCTTGCTTTATAAGATGTGACAATTCGGTAAAGAAAAACATTGTTACGGAAAAATTTATTACTATCGTATATTTTATTGTGAAGTATAAGAATGAACGGAACACAATATTCCTTTATACGTCTTCGCCTTCCAAGTGACGCGATTTTTATATCAATGATATATTTGTGTTAAATAAATAAAATTACGCACTTATATGCGAAATCGGTTCATATCTAGAGAGTAAATAAAAATAAGATTATACAGAAGTCAGATTTCATCATTATCAGTTTGATACCTGTACTTATATACTTGTATTGGAAATACAATAGTAGGAACCTTTTCTGAAGTTGGTTTAAACTGTCCAACACCGCGAGGACACCGGTGACCCTATTGTTCCTATTGTTCTTTAATTGTGTCTATAATGACGGTACTCAAAGGGTTAAATGTCAAGTATAAGCTAGGGGACAAAACGGTAGTTGCCTACATTTTATTTTAATGCCCATCTGGTAGATTAATTTAAAACATTAGACACGTATTTTTTCTTTTCTCACAAAATTAAATACTTTCGACGATATATTAATTTGAAATATCGTGTGACGTCACAATGCGCTGCATTTTGTAACACTTAGTGACGTAACGACCTCCGGCTCGAAACAGAAGTGGGAGCGGGGTGGTTTTTCGCCAGTAAGAGTATGACACTCCCTCTCGACTAACTAAAGGCTGGAGACGACATTGAATGATTTTATTGCCTTAAAAAAAAGACTTCAGTTTTTTAGTTTTTTTTTTTAAAGAAACTTCTAGGATTTTGGATTTTCTCCTGTGTCGTGGGTGCGTTTATAAACATACAAGTTAACATATACATAGTGACACCCAGACGCGGAACAATAATTTGTAGATTACACGTAGAGTTATTCCGTGCGGGAATCATACCCGCGACGCGTTGCGTGGCAGCCAATTGCCCAGCCACCGCACCAACCGTGCAGTCATATTATTCCGTGCAGTATTAACCGTGCACAATTCATAAACTAAACTCTAAAACAGTTCTAATTTCGTTGATAATCTTTATTTATTTAACTAGGAAATTGAACTCAGTACGCAGGCTCAGTGGTTACATCCCTGACTATAAAACAGACAGTCCAAAGTACAAGTTTGCACAATATAAAAAGTGTTCCAGAACGTATTAAGCAATCAAATTGTCAAATTATATCGTTTCACATCGCTTCATTTCGAGATTGGAGTAATTTCGGTTAAAATTAAATCATCTTTTCCGTTTATTAATAAAGTTTACTTCCTCTTCTTTATTTAGGTATTAAATTATTTCTGTATGTAGTATATTGTTTAGTATTATTATTATTCCAATGATTTAAAAAACAGAAAAAAGCTTTACATAGAGAGGAGTGGAAGGAGGGTAGGAAGGCGTGTGCCCTGCAGTGGCTGAAGAAAATAATAATTAGAAAAGAGGTAGGGTAACATAATTTAAATAAAACTCCATTTCTACACACTGCGCATAATTTCAAACACCGTGGTATCGACGTGCTATTTTAAGTCACAATGTAATAGGTAGGTACTTTGCCAGACCCAGGTATCAAGCCCTAGAATTTGATAATCTATATAAATAACAATGAAAAATAAATGAGTTTCAGTTCATTAGTCTCGCTAAAACTCGAGATCGGGTGAACGGACTTGGCTAATTTTCGTCTTGAAATGTTCATGGAAATCCAGGAAAGATTTAAAAGGAGAGAAATAAATGTTTAGGCGGAATGAAGTTTGCTGGGTCATATAGTCATAAATAATTTATATAAACTTCAATATAAACCTATTATCGGAAAATTAGCCACAGAATCAGAATAGATGTAGATCTATTCTTATAGGTTAGCCTTGCTTTGGATGCAGAGCTTTCAAACAATGGAAATGTATGGCGTCCTGTCACCCTGTCTTCGAGCTAGCATCCATCAGAGATTGGAACTGCTCCAACACTGAGATGAGAAACACCTGATTTGGTGTAAACAATAATTAATTAATAAACAGTATTTCGTAGTTTAAGGAGTTAGGAAATGAATCAGTGAGCCCTATAGCACAGTTTATATAGGCTTCATATATCACATAATTTACTAGAAATAATAACTGGACAATGTCTGGAATAGTCTTAGGTTAATACCTGCAGCACCTAGCTTCACCTAGCTTCACTGACGGACTGACTGATAGACTATTATTTATTTTGTATTTGTTGACATTTCAAAAGTACCAAATTATGGTTTAATTGAAATAAATGCTTTGACTTTGACATTGAAAGTGACTAGTAACGATTAACTTTATTCATGACATTTCTAACCCGCTAATACATCTTATCAATACTTAGAAGGTAGCGGCATATATATTAATTATTTTGATGCATTCCAACACTTTTTACATAGAACTTCAGACACTTGTAGGTAAAGGCAGATTTCTAAGGGTCAATAACTGACTTCGAAATCGAAGTCAGTGCTGACATAAAATATTTCTGTGGGAATTTTTAAGTTAGCATTGTTTTTAAGCAGCAGTCTGGTTTTTTGGGTCAGCGCTGACTTGTATCTGCCTTTAAATTCTTGAACGATCACAAACTTCCCCATTTATAATCTTATACTATTATATAAGGCGGAGGAGTTTGTTTTTTTGTTTGTTTGACTAAACGCGCTAATCTCCGTAACTACAAGTCTGATTTGAATAATTATTTTTGTGTTGGATAGTGCATTTATCGAAGATGGCTATAGGATATAAAACATCACGCTACGACCAATAGGAGCTGAGCAGAGCATGTAAAACCGCGCAGAAGTAGCTAATATTACCTAGTAGGATAGCGTTCGATCACCATCTTCCCTAGTGGTAAGTGATGATGTGGCCGCATAAGTATACCTAGGTATTAATGAATCAAGCGCCAAAATCTATGTACTGACGTGATAAATCAATAATAGTATGTAACATGAAATATTTCATACATTTGGCCAGTTATCTATCAGTGTAGGAGTCGCCTGTGATAGTACTTTGATACCATTCAGTCGCAAACCAGCACACGAGCGCAACCGTTTGTAAAAATACAACTCATAAATAGCTGTATCCAATTTTATTGTAGTGTGGAACTATAAGAAGTTCAGTTGAATATTTTTTTAAATTATATTTCTTGTCGAATTTGTTTTGTGGAGTTTCTATTTTTAATTGAGAGAGACAACGTGAGTATTTTTCATATTTTCATTTTTATTTTTGTTTTTGTTATGCTTGTATTTTTTCTCTGTTTGTTTCGAAAGACTTTATAAAATAGATGGTTAAATAGATAATTACTATTAAGTACGGGGTTTTTAAAAACGTATATCGAAAATGACAACGTTTTATAAACTTATTTATCAAAATGTAGTTACATTGGATGACTATTACCAATAATGTTACATTATTTAATACACAACAACATAATACAATGCAATCACAATAACACATTTAAAATAAAAAGCTGTAGCAACCATCTGTTACTGATATTTCCTATTATTATCGTAATATCAATACAAAGCTGTATTTTAAATGACAATTGTTTATGAATACAAGTGCTGCAAGTACAGGGTACTATTATAGACACATAATAATTAATAGAAAAGCCATATATATAATACCAAGTATTTGTATGAAAAACTAATAAAGAATTTAAAACCTTTATGGTCACGTGGTTGCTAACTCGACGGCAGACCCTATGGTCCCGGTTAAAGTAAAAAAAAAGTTAAATTTATTTATTTCAATTAAACCAGGAAGGCACTTTTGAACGTCAGCAATAGAAATTTAAAAGTGAAGCTATTTGCTCATTCCAAGTTGTAGATTTCTATGGAGAAGAACGAGCAAGAAACTCCATAGGTTACTCTTTTCCAGTCAGGTTCACAATACAATTCTCCAGTTACACAATTTTATTGGTTCGATTGTGCGAGAATAATGTAACACCAAAATCCAGATACTTAGATACTACGATTACTTACATACATTTTTAACCGATTTCACGAAAAAGAGCAATTTCATTTCCCAATTCGAGTAAGTATATAGCACATACATAACTTCACGCCTGTGTTCTATGGGGGTAGGCAGAGCGCAGAGACTATGGTACGCCAATTGCTAGGATTCTTACATACCGTCATGATAATTTACAATTAGGTGGACTAAACACAAACAAAATGCTTAAAGTCAAATTGCGTTTCATACTGGAACAGAAATTGCTTGAAAACTATTTTTGTTTTGACATTGCGAGTAAACATACGAAAATAGTTACAACGCAGTTAATAAAAGCTTTTGATCTCAGATCAATGTTCACGATATAGTGTTCTTGACTCGTCAGCTAACACATCTACGTCGTTGATCATGAACAGCCTATAAGTGGCCACTGCTGTCAACGGCCTCTTCTCGCACAGAGAAGCTTTGAACATAAATTGCCACGCTTCTTCAATGCGGGTTGGCGATTTCAAACTTATAATTACAAATTATAAGCCCAGGTTTCCTCACGATGTTTTCTTTCACCTGTTGTCCGCGGTGTCTAGATACTCTTTGAAAGTACATATAACTCGGAAAAAGTCACATTGGTACTTGCCGTTGGTAGGTTTCGAACCCGCATTCTCATGCATGAGAAGCGGGAAGCGGGGCGTCTATTCCACAAATCAAGCCGTTTCGTTTCACCGAAATGGGGATAGTGCTTAAAAATTAGTGTCATAATATATGGTCAACAAGATTAACCACTTGAATGCACCGATGTGAGACACAATAGGAAATATATTGTGCCTCGCGTGAATCCGGGTTTTAGACACACAATAGGTTAAAAGAGTGTGCACCAAATATTAGATCGATCAGTCGTCAGGAACGGGATAAAAATCCAATTACTAATTCAAATTCAAATTACTTTATTGTAGATTACAGCTCTGTACAAAATACAGGTCTTAAATATATACAATTAAATAGATCAGCCATATCCGGCCCTTTGGGCATGCCAAAATTTGACCTAAACAAAAGGACAAACGGGTCAAGGTCAATAAAACAGTTTACAAAATATGTATTGCATTTACTAGTCACAATCTATATAAAATGAAACTCCTTTCCCGTTGTCACGCCATAACTTGGGAATGGTTGGACCGACTTGGCTGATTTTTTTTTATTTTAACCCTCTATTAAATTAATGAATTCGAAGCAGTGTCCTAGATACGCGAATTCATACATAATTACGTAAATACATAAATATATAGAAATATGGGTGACTACACGTTGTTTATCGCGGATACCGTATATGTTACTATCATACATTACATTACATTGATAAATTAAATACATATGAACTCTGTTTTTACATCAAAATGAATCATTTTGTTAGGAACAATAGCTTTGTTCTATTTGTTTATGAAAGACGATCCTGCTACATATAAATAATATAGGATTATTATATATTAGTTAATCAGTGTTAATTAATTGATAATGGATTATGTTTTAATACTCGGCGTGTTTTTCGACCTCTTCGTGCTAGATGTCACAAGTATGTACGTTAATGTCAGCCAAGTCATTCAGGTAAGAAAATAAAAATTAATTCATTTAGTAAAATAACATAAAACTTACGTAAGATATATTAAATTAATTATTATGTTTTAACTGCCTCGTTGGCCGAGTGGTCGCAAGTGCAGTCACCGGCAAGGGGTCTCGGTTTCGATTCCCGGGTCGGGCAAAGTATTACTGGGTATTTTTAAATATTCTCAGTAGTAGCACGGAGTCTGTAATTGTGCCCGGTATATGGCAATAGGCTCTCCCTATTACATGGGACTCATAACATAAATAGTGAAAAGTGGGTGTTATATTGTACAGTGGTATAATGTGCACCTCTGCCTACCCCGTCGGGGATAATAGGCGTGATGTTATGTTATGTTTTAATCATCAATATTACTTTCTAAATCAGTAATACTTTGCCCGACCTGGGAATCGAACCCGGGACCCCTTGCCCGGCAGTCACACTTGCGACCACTCGGCCAACTATATACGCTGTACTATGAATAAAATTAAATATCGTTAAAGGTACTGTGTATATGTATTCAGACACATTATTATCATGTAGGTCGCGTTATGTACTAGTTTACCGCCTGCGGTTTTGCTCGTGTATTTAGAAGATTACTCTGGATAGGTTTATAGAGTTTTATATAATAATGGCGATAAACAAAAAAATTACAGTCAATCCAGTAGTTTTAAGGCTTTTCATTATAAACAAACAAACAATCAAAACTTGCCTCTTTATATGTAGAGGTAGTAAATTTTATATTATGGGAATTTCTGCAGCTGTTAGTAATAATATGTTTTGATTTTAGTCATGTTGTACCTGGAATTAGCAGGCAACCTACTCCAATATGTTAATAAATTTCCAACTTTATAATGCTGGTAATAAAGTTTAAAATGCATCGAATAAAGGAAGACTAGATGAATATTATGTCTATTAAATTGACAATGTAAGAATTTATAACCACCCCTTTCTTTGCTACGCCGTAGCTCTTTATGGCCTACAACGACTACGCCGTAGCTGGCGTAGAGGGGCTACAAAAGTATAATTTATGCATTTTATATTATTAGTAAGATATTAGTTGGTATAGTATTGTTTTTAACTATTCATGTTCATAGTATAATGGTATTTATGCTACTATAGTCCATAATGATTCTGTAGCGTAGCCCGCCAGAGTCTAGGCTACGCTTCGTAGTAAGTAAAGTGTATTAAGTGCAGTCTCTCGTAGAATGTACGTAGCAAACATTTTTAGCTATGGCGTTATTTAAATTTTAAAGTTATCTATATAAAAGAAAGTCGTCTTAGTTACACTATTAATCTTTAGAACGGCTGAACAGATTTGGGTGAAAATTGAAGGGAAGATAGCTTCAAACCAGGAGACGGACATAGGATACTATACGATACTTTTTCGCTCGCACTGTGTCGTTTTTCCTATTAAATAAAAATCCAAAAATATCTAAACGCTGCAGACGTTATTAGTGAGCAATAATGTCTACTACGAACCAAAAAATAATAAAGAATTAAAACTATTACCTATAATTATAATTATAGCTTATAGTTGGCATAAATCTAACATAACTATTATATCAAGATAATTCATATCTATAGCAATCTCTATGTCAGATTTTAATATCTTTAATTTTGCTATCTAATTATGATTTAACGGAAAAATACAATAATTATACTGATAACGGATTGTGAGGAACACTGATATTTATTACCTGTCGTAGGTATATTTTATTTATAAATATTACATGTTTACCTTCCTATATTCTTTTTTTAAATAAAAACTTTGCCCCCACGCTAAGATTTTGTCCAGTGTCGTGGGTGCGTTTACAAATATACAAGTTCACTTACACATGACATTCAGACCCAAAACAACAATATATGGATTAGTCACTGCATCAACCGGACAGTCATACTGTCAAACACCGCGAGGACACCGGTGACCGCATCCTATTGTTCTTTGATTGTGTCTATAATGACGGTACTCGACGAGTTAATATAGTTAAAAAATGTTATAAATAGAAGAGATTAAAGGAGCTGCTTGCCTAACTGTAACTTACAATTCGAAAGATCGAAGTGAACTCGAAACAACTCTTTGTGTGATCCACAAATTGTTGATTCGGGTCTGGGTATCATGTGTATGTGAAATTGTATGTTTGTAAACGCACACACGACACAGGAGAAAATCTTGCTAGTAAAAAGAATAATTTATACCTTTTCCAAAGTGTAACTAATATTTTTCTGAAAACCGCATCGAAATCGGTGCAGCCAATTTGGAGATAATCGCGCACAAACATACAAACATACATACATAAAGGTCGCGCTGAGAACCTAATTTTATTAATTCGGTTATAAACACATTATGATATAACGACTCAATCCATTTTGATCTTAATCAATAAGGTAATTAAGTCAGTATTTCCCCGAGTTAGATCGCGTATCAGATTGACAAACCTTGATAGTTTATCAAAGTCAAAGTCAAATGCATTGATTTGTAATACATAAGTTGCAGGCATGATTTTCATTAATTGAGTTAGTGAAACTTGATGCTCTTCGGTCATTAATTCTTAGAGAGAAACCAAGCGAGAACATTTAGAAGTGTTAACGATGAATCAGAAATCGAACTCGAAGCCTCTTGCTTGATAATCACAAGGAAAAAACTTTACAGAC